ATATAAAGACGTCTTACCATAGGTGAAGTAGCTGCACCACCTCAGAGTGGAAAAAGTCAGCTAAAAGCAATAGTTCTGCATTTGTTGTTACCTGATTAAAAGGGCAGAAGTATTGGAATAAAAATGTGTTCAAAGCACCAAAAGTACTCAGGATGACTCATTTAGAATAATTTACTCCTCAAGCACATGTCAACTTCATTACTTGAAACTCAAACGATAATTTAAATAACTCATATGCCAGTTGACCTGCAAGGTGGATCGGTGGTTAGCATCGCTGTCTCGCAGCACGAAGGTCGCCAGTTCGCCTCCCGGTAAGGGCACCCAGGATCATTCTGCGTGGAGTTTGCACACAGTTTCTCCCACACAGTCCAAAAACATGCTGAGGTTAATTGGTGATTCTAAATTGTCCCGTCTGTCTCTAAGAGTAGCCCTGTGATAGACTGGTGACCTGTCCACGTTGACCCCTGCCTTCGCCCTAAGTCAGCTGGGATAGGCTCCAGCCTCCCCGCAACCCTAGTGAGGATTAAGTGGTGTATAGATGATGGATGGATAAGCCAGTTGACAGACAATTAATTGGCAACTACTCAGTTTAATTTGCTTTGTTTGGTTTTATAAGCAAATATAGTGACAGCAACTTTTCCAGTGTGAAGGTTTACTCATTTTATAGCTTTCTGTGTGTAGTAAATTGAACCACTTTTGTTTTTGACTGTTGGTCAGAAAAAGAAAAAAGCAATGTCAATATATGGGTTTTTATGTTTTATATATATGTGTGCGTGTGTGTATTTTCTAATAATAAAGATAATTGCTGCTTGCATATTTACAGTACGTCTATGATGAATGTTCTCTGAGGTTTTCTGGGTCTTTATTATGTTATTAAAAAAAATTGAGGCATTTTAATAAAACACGCTTCGCAACAAAAATCATGACTTAAATTGTGTAAACCCACACAAAATGGAATAAACCAAATGTGTGTGTGTGTATAATGTTGTTTGAAATCCTTGTTCCTCATTCTATTTTAGCTGCAAAACTCCCATTTCCTTAGGGTGCCAAAAAGTACTCTATTACTTTGAAGCATAAAAACTACTCATAGCGCTGAGCCGAATTATCAAAAACATAATGCCAAAACTGTAATGATTTATCAATTAATTTTAATGAGTTAAATAAATATGTAACTATGTATAAAAACATGAATTGGAAGTGGCAGTTCCTATTGCAGCTTGGCTACAGGAATGGACAAGCACACTGACAGGGAAAAGGGGGAAAAGAAAAATGAGACAGAGGAGGGGAAATCATAATAATATCAGTACTTGAGTTACAGTAGGTTCAACTTCAGCAATTACCAAAGCTTCTGCCGCCCCCTTTTGGTCAGACACAAGCTCTGCAAAACACTGTGAAGGGTCATGGACAATGGACTGTTTTGGACAAATAATCTACATGTTAATTAAGAGTAAATAATGTGCCAGAAAAGAACTGCTTGGAATAGAGATCATGCCATAATGTGTCACAACTAGTTAAGGATCTGACATTTCCTTCAGTTACCTGGATATATTAGGCACGTAATGTGCAGTTATGACTACAATCCAGCTTTTACATCCAAACTTGATTAATCCCCACAAAGATAGTAGTGTTGGCACTGTGCTTTAATATGGCATTTGTTTTAATAGATGTTGGTACCATCTACTTTTGTTTCCTTTAATCAATCCAAAAAACAATGACAAAATTAGACTTACAACAAATTTAAAAGGTATGTCTTTTTATTGATTTCTTGCATGGTAACAGTGAAACAAGCCATAATAATTAGGGCTACACTACTGACACTATGGCTATGTTAAAAATAATAATAAAAAAACAACAACAAAGAAACTGTACATTTTCTGTACAAAACATTTCTATTTCCAACAAGAAATACACAACAAGTTGAATTTACAACTGCTCAATTGCATGTAAGAGGCAATTTAATTAATAATGAAAAAACAAATGAAACACATCTACTTTGAACACAACAAAACAAATTAACACAAATACATCTGCCTCTGACCATTTCTATGACAAGTTACAATGTCAGATTTTCTCATGGCTTTACCTGTAGGTCAAGCTGAAACGTCAGGAAGACAAGGAAACCGCATTCCTTGAGGAAAAAAATACATTCAATGGAAGTTAGGCTTAAGTATTTTTTATCCAGTGTGATGATGCTAGGCGGGGGTTTTGCAGGTCTAGAACATCAGCCTTCATGATCTTTTGTGATATTTTGCCTGACTCTAATTCGGCCCAGCGTCGCTTCTATTTCTGTCATTGTGCATCTTTTACATCCCCTGTTTATCAGTTTAATTGCCCCCTTCCCGTTCTTTCTTCTTCCCTCCTCTATCTTTACACCTACAGGTGGATTTCCCGGTCCCTGTGTTCTGACCAACCCTCTTTGTTGCCAGAGTGGTCTACTTCTACTCAATTCAATGTCTGTTGGATGACCCATTTGTTTTTGTTTGAAGATAAAGACATCATGATTCTACATCACATGTTTGGGAAATGTATTAGACCCTCTGTTGGAGTGGGTAGTAAGGCACCTCTGTGTCTCGGGGGTCTTATGGGTTGCTGATTTTGTGGGTTGTCCAAAGGAGTAAATGATTTTCCTCCTCTGTTTAGACCTGGACCTAGAGACCTATTGAATGGTACTGAATATGGATCACTAGGGTCTTGAAAACTAGGAGCCTGATGAGGAACTTTTCTTTCACTACTAAAAGTTTGACCCCGCTGCTCTGGTTCCCCATCCCTCATGTCTGGGTCTCTGAAATCTGATTGCTCAAATCCCTGTGAGTCCAAACTGGAGCTAATCATTTCTGGACCTCTTCTCTCAGACCCAGGAAACCTAACAGTTCCATGTCTTAAATCTGAACTTTTAGGTGATGGCCCCCTCATATCTCTTTTATCAGGCCCAAGTCGTCTCATTTTTGGACCTCTCCTTTCCCTTCTAAAATCCTGCTCAAATTCTTGTCCAGGATTTTCCATGTCAACAGCACATCTTTCAGATCTTATGTCCCCACAATCTGAAAGTCTCCCTTCAGACCCTAAATCTTCAAAGTTTGAATTTTGATTTCCAGGTCCCGGGGGTCTCAAATGTGGGCCTCCTGGGCCTCTTCTATAAGCCTCAGGTCTTTCCATGTTTGACACTCTCATGCGCCCCCTGAAGTCTGGCTGCCTCCAGTCATTCTCCATATCGGGATGTCCTTGCATATCTGATCCTGTTTCTCTATTGTGTGACTCTCGTTCCCCTCTAAAAAATGGCCCAGCACCCCCTCTATCAGGCTCTCTCCATTTATGTCCATGTCCTCCCCTACTGGGCCCTGGGCATCCCATATCTTGATTATCCTGAACAGGCCCTGGACGCCTACAACCAGGACCATTCCATTCATCTTCCGGATACACATTTGGTCTTTCCCGTACGAGCCCCGGCCCCCTTCGTCCACGGCCTCTCCATTCACTACGAGGACCTTGTCTACTATGTTCTTGGCCCTGCTCATCTGAACATTCTTGGATAGGCCCTGCTCTCCAATGGCTATCTCTTTCCCAGTCATCTTCTGAAAATCCTATTTCAATTCCTAAAGCCTCCATATTGGGCCCTCTTCCATCTGACCATTGCTCCTCAGTGCCTGTGCCACTCCTATCAGTTGCATAGCCCTGGTCCAAGTCTGGTCCTGGTCTTCGAATATTTCTCCTCATTGGCCTTGGACCCCTAAAGTTCTGACCTGGCCTATCAAATCTTGGGACCACTAAACCTGGGCTTTCTTGAATAGGGTCAGATCCTCCCCAGTCATCTCTTATTTCATGTCTTTTATCTTCTATATTTGAACATGGGAAGTTTGGATCACCTGATATTCTCCAGTCAGGTCCTGGGCCCTCGATATGTCTTCCTTCAGGCCCAGGTTCCCTGAAGCTTGAGCCTGCTGGTTCTTGTCTGTCATGACCTGGACCCTCAATGTCTAGACCTCTACCTTCACAACCTGGTCCTACAAAACCTCGTGGACCTGTTGTAGTACGCCACTGACCCCTCATAACAGTTGCGTCAGACCCCACCCCTCTAAAGTGTGGTCCCCTCCTATCTGTCTGTGGGCTCTCCATATCTAGAGGTCTTCTTTCGGGCCCAGATTCCCTGAAGTTTGGACCTTCCATAAGTCTCTGGTCTGGCCCTGGACCGTCTGTGTTTGGACCTGCATGTTGAAACACTGGTCTCCCCATTTTTGGACCTCCTGGCCCTCTCCTGTTGAGCCCTGAAGTCTCCATACCAGAACCTGGTCTTTCCAGCCATGGTCCTCTGAAGTCTGGACCTCTCCTGTCAAGCCCTGGACCCTCCATATTTGGATGTCCAATTTCTGAGCCACGATCCCTGCAATGTGGCCTTCCTTGACCTCTACCATGAGGCCCTGGACCCACCACAGGTAATTCTCTGCTTTCAGGAACTGGTCCTCGGAAATCTGGACCTCCAGGTTCTCTCCTGTCAGTCCTTGGACCTTCAATGGTTGGACCTCTCCTTTCAGGTCCTAGTCCATCAGTAGGAAGACTTCTCCTGTCAGATCCCGGTCCCCAGAAATCTGGAACTATTGGTCTTCTCCTATCAGGCTCTTGACCATCTATCGAGGGACCTCTCAATTCACATCCTGACCCACTAAAATCTGGACCTCCTAATACTCTCCTGTCAGGCCTTGGACCACCCAGAGCAGGAGCTCTACTATCAGGCCCTGGGTCATGAAAATCCGGACCACCAGGTCCTCTTTTCTCAGGCCCAGAAGCCTCCATAAATAAGCCTCTGCTTTCAGGCGCTAGTCCCCTGAAACCTGGACCATGTCCTCTCCTGTCTGTTCCAGAAACCTCCATGGGGGGACCTCTCCTTTCAAAACCTGGTCCTCTGAAATCTGGATCTCCTTGTCCTCTCCTATCAGGCCCAGTACCAACCATATCTGGACCTCTCTTTTCAGGCCAGGGCCCCCTGAAATCTGCACCTGCTGGCCCTCTCACATCAGGTCCTTGGCTCTCTATAGCTGGACCTTTCCCCTCAGGCCCTGAACCTCGGAAATGTGGACCCACAGGTCCTCTTCTGTCAAGCCCATGACCCTCCTCAGCTACACCTCTATTTTCAAGTCTTGGTCCCAAAAAGTGTGGACCTCCTGGCACTCTCAAACCAGGTTTCTGATTGTTCATAGTTGGACCTTTCCTTTCAGATCCTTTGAAATCCGGACCTCTGTGTTCTCTCCTGTCATGAATTGGGACCTCTATGTCAGGACCTCTTCTTTCATGTCCTTGTCGCATGAAATCTGAACCTCCCAGTCCTCTTCTGTCATGCACTGGGACCTCCATGTCAGGACCCCTCCTTTCAGGTCCTGGTCCTATAAAATCCGGACCTCTTGGTCCTCTTGAGTCCTGCCTCAGGTCCTGCATGTGTGGCTCTCTCATTTCAGGCCCTGGTTGTCTAAGTCCTAGGCCTCCAACACCTCTTTTCTCAGGCCCCTGGCTCTCCTTGTCAAGGCCCTGCCGATCAGACTGGTGGGCTCTCCAGTTGTCTCTTATGTCTGATCCTGGGCCTTTCCAATGTGGATCCCTCATATGTGGACCCAGGTCTTTATTTTGATTCCTCTGACCTTTTATATCAGGACCAACAATACCTCTCCAATCTCTGTTTTCTGGGCCCTTTTGTTCATTTCTCCTGTCTGGCCATTGACTTTGTGTATTTCCTTCTTGCATGTCAGCATTCCTCCTATTATGGCCGGTTTCCCCACTAGCGCTACTTGAACTTCTTCTATCGCCCCTTGCGTCTGAGCGCCCCATGCCATAGATATCTTGACTAGGCTCCTTATGATTTCTTCCAGTCATATCTGGCGTTCTTATTTCATGCATAGTTTCTGATTTTCTTGTGTCAGGGCCATGTACACTCCTTTGTGCCCCTACATCTTGCTGTGGGACTTCTTGTCCAATGAAAGACATGTTAGGTTCACCATTTTTACAATTTAGGTTTAGTCCTGGTCCTCTCACATGCACACCTCTTTGTGCCCCCTGCTTTTCATCTGTTATTGCAGATAGTCTATCTGCCATTAGAAGTTTTCCCTCTGAGCCTATGGATGTACTTGAATCAAAACTCCATTCGTGAACATCAGTTACCCTGCTCAAGTCTACATCTCTTTCACGTGGCTGAAAGGCTCTTTTCTGGGAGCCTCTTTCTTCTAAAGCTGGACTGCCATCGTTCCTTGACTGCCTCTGAACTCCTCTTGAGCCCATCAAAGATGGACTCGAATCTCTTAGATACACACCCATCATATCAGATCTCAAAGCTTTGGAATGTCGACTTTCATCTCCATCTTTTTGTCCCATTTCTCCTATATCTGGAGCCCGACCTTCTAATTGTGGGCCCCCACATGGTTGTTCTATCCCTATTTTTATTGCATCTGCTTTGCCATCTGGATTTTCTGGCTGTGATCTATTCTCCTCTGTTTTTAGACACAGTAAACTTCTCTCCGGACAACTAACATTTTGGCTTCTCTCTTCAACAATAACCGGTGTCCTTGAGTCTGTATTCAAATTATACACTGCTGACACACAATCCCTTAACCTTGAGCCTCCATGATCAGGAACAAGTTTACCTGACAAATGACCATGCATGACTGGATTTGCCCTCTCATTCTGTATGCCTAATTCTCCCACATGTGGATTGCGATGTTGAATACATGAGTCTCTTATATTTGGCTCTAAACCCGGCACAGATATCCCTGGTTCCTTCACATGTTTTGCTTGACCACCAATTTCTTTCAAATCTGGTCTTGGATTACTAATACCTGGACCACTCGTACTCTGAATATCTGAGCGTGTAGCTGAACTTGGATGTCCTCCCCCTTGACTCATCATTTCAGGGTGCCTTAAGCCAGGGACCTTTAGACCTACATCTCTAAAAAGTAAGTTTCTCACATTTGAGACTGGCTCTCCAACAGTAGGACTCAAGTTATTGGACATTGTTACTTGACTACCAATGTGCAGACAATTATTTTCAGCGTTACCAAATTGCATTTGGACAATGGTATGCTCCTGGGGATCTCTGATTTCCTCTGTCTTAACAAAGTCATTCTTTTCTATGCTGTTGGGTTTTAGAAACTGTGGTTCTGGATCAGGGCTCTGAGGAGAATCTCGAATGGGTGGATCAATTTCTCTTAGTGGAACTGTGCTTTCAAATTTGCTGTTATACAGAGTTTCCTGTTGTGAGGGTTTATCCACTGGTGCAGAAGAACCACTAACTGTGGAATTTTTTTGAAGCTCCTGAAATTTTGGGGGTTCTGAAGTCTCAAGCTTAACATGTAAACAAGAAGCCAAATCTTTATCAGGGCTCTCAACAGGTTCTTTTTTAATAGTAACTAGTGAAGATGATGTGTTACCCTCTGCAAATAGTTCAGCAACAGAATCTAGAGCATGTTTTGATTTCTCAAGGACTTCAGGGAAGGGCCCTCTGTGCTGCTTTGGCGAAAGGGACACAGAATCTTTTTTTTGAGGAGATGACGACGACCTTCTATGTCCACGGGAATGTCGGCGCATATTATGGTCTTTACGATGGCGTCCATGCCGTTCAGATGGATCTCTAACTCTGTGCCTTGACCTGTCCCTTTCACTTCTTCTATGCCTATCCCTGTCTCGACGTCGTCGGGAATGTGAAGGAGAACGTCGCTGTGACTTTCTTGAAGGGCTCCTGTGGTGGTCCCTTTCACGTCGACTCCGCCTCTTTGGTGATGACCTTCGCTTTCTGCTATGTGAATTCGGAGACGTACCTTTGTGACCACCACTGTGCCCTGCTCTAGACAAAGAATCACTGGACTTTATACTTGCACCTTTAAATACATCCTCTTGAATTTCATTAAAAAGTGATTCATCTTCAGGATCATAGGCCACATCAGAATCTTCAATCTCTCCAGCAGAGGAATACTTGTCACATTCCTCAACATTTTCCTGTGTATCATCTTGCTCTGCAACATTTTCTGTATCATTTTTAAAATCATGGACTTCAGTTGTGTCTACCAGCTTAACGGTTTGTGAATCCACATTTGAATTATCCACAGTCTCTGTAAGATTGACAGTACTGTCTGTTGGATCTGAAGGCTTTGACTCTGTTTGTATTGTGCTACTGTGCAGTGATGACAATTGGTTGAGAGGCAAAGATTTTGATGGGGGAGATGTCAGGGAATCTGAAACAGAAAAGTGAGCCATGAACATACCCACAGCCTCCCTCTGCTGACGTAGTGCCTCTTCCTGCTCTTTCAACTGTCTTTTTTGCTCTTCAATTTGCTTATTTAGCTCCTCAAGCATCCGCTGTTGTTCACTCAGTGTTGCAGCTGAGACAACCACAGTGCCTGTAGGAAGGGTTGGCATTACTGCAGCTTGGGTAGAAGTTTGTGCTGCATTAGAAGAGGGAACTTCTGCTGGACAAGATGGAGAATCTAACGTTTGAGTTGGAACAGGGGGCTTTTTTACAGCAATACCACTTTGAATATCTTCAAAGATAGTCTCATCCTCTGGATCATAGGCCACATCATCCTCCACAATGCCTGATAATGCAGGGCCATCTGCCTTATTTTTTTTCTTGGTCTGTGGAGCAACAGTTTTATATGCCCCTGCTGGATCGTACTCTTCCTCTGGGTCATATGGTCGATCAAATTCATTGTCCTCTACTTCTATCTCTTTGATTTTAGATTTCTGTCCATACTGTTGGACAATTGGATCAACCATAGATCCAGACACCTGACTAAGCACTGCCATCTTCTTAGCACTTGCTGTTGTTTTTGCAGAACTTCCATCAGATGAGACAGTGGAGTCAGACTGCTTATTGCCAAACAAAGTCTTCAAGATAGTCTGTAGTGGTGTCTTATTACTGGATGCTGTTGAGAGATCCTTGTCAGAGATGCTATTAGAGGTGGGCTGTGTAGCAGCAAAAGTGGCTGAGGTAGAAACAGGGGGGGTCGCTCTAACTGAAGTCAAAACAGATGGTATGATAACTGACCCAGAAGAGGAAGAGTCCGACGGTGACCCAGGGCAAGATGGTGAGGCAGGAGGAGTGGTATTAGTAGGAGTCTCTGGATCATAGGGTTGGAATATCTCCAATTTGTCAGAACCATAGAGGACAGGTGGTTTTGGTATCCACATAGGGTCTCTGGACATGTGAACTCTGGGTCTCTTCTCTTCGGTTTCCTGAGGCAAGCATCCTGGACGTTTTGTCCTCTGGACGATCGCAAGACCCAGAAGAAGATTAGGCCGTTTTTTTTCAAGGCCTGAGACAAAGGGAAGATAAATGAATTATTCAAACACCTCTAAAATCCTAAATTCTAACAATTAGCTCTCTCTTATTCAATTTCTTTCAAATGCTTGACTAACAATTTTGATTAGAACACTTATACAATTTTTCTGATTCACAGTATAGAGAAATACATTAATGCAGGACTGTTTATTCAGACTGGGACCACTGATTACTTATCAATAATTACAAAAAAATCGGCATTCAGAATAATTAAAATAACAAAGGTGTAAATGCAACATAAAGCCAAATGGAATAAAAAGTTAAGCTGATCACTGACAAATTTTCCCAAGAGAAACTGTTCTCTCGTGTACAGCTTTGCCAACTGATGTCCGTATCCTTGGGTAAATACAATGTCTTACAGTAAAAGCTGGACACATTTTATAAATATTCTCAAATAATGCAGTCTGTGAATAAATATCTGGCCAAATTATTATAATTTTAACAGAGCAATTTACCTGAAAGTCTTAAATGTACAACATATTTAGATTGTATTAAATATCTATTCAGGTTTTCCGTTATATTTTCGGTTGTCTTTTATTACAGACAAAAAAATAAAAAATCTTCAGTGTTTTGCAAATTTTTTTAGGATCTTCCGTTTTTTTTCTGTGGTTCAATTGTGAGCATCCTAAAAGACACAACTGTATCTCAGCCATAACGGAGTGAACATTTTTCTCACTACAACTCAGTCAAGATCACTGCTATACAGGAGTGATTCTTATATATCACAATCTGTTGAGCCTTGAATTTGTTAATATAGGTTTTTGCCTGCGGGAAATGCAGGCTTTTAAGATGTGGTATTCAAAGCATTTTCCCACCTGGTCCTTCAAGAGGTTGTAGTATGGATGGGATTGATTCCTTTGAACTGAGTGGGACAAGGTATACGTCTTTGATGGAATTGCTACTATTGGCGACCACACCGAAACGACCTCTGCTGCTGAAATATGAAAACAAGGAGACATAGGCCACCTCTTCCTCCTCTGTTGCAGGCTGAAACCGGATCACACATAACTCCTAAAAAACAAACAAAAGTACATAAAATGTTGATATATTCCCCATGCTGTTATACAAGTTGCAGAAGGAAATACAAAATATTCTGCTTGCCTTAGTCACAGAGGTCTTTATCTTTGTTACATAGTCCCACACTGTCTCGGGCATAATTCGTCCCCCGATTTGTATGGTATCAGGTAGGTCCTGCACAACACACAAACACAAATGATTTTCATATATCTGTCATGTCAAAGACAGATCTCTGTGCTATATCTCAATAAAATTAAGTTTACCGCTTTAAGATTTTCAGCAGATCCTGAAACCAGATATGCCTTGGTGACAAACTTGGCTACACTCAGCATGTTTAAAAAGCCTTTCCACAGTATGTCTTGCTTAGCCAGGAACTGAGTGGTCTGGCCATCAACTGGGGACTCAGAGCTCCTGAAACCCAAACCACAACAGCACAAAAACAATTACATCCACACAATGTACAGATTTTGGATAAATGTCTACCACCTAAAAAAGAAAAAAAGAAAAGTTCATCAGCTTTAGTATACTTTAACCATTATTTAAATACCTTAAAGATGTGCCATAAAGTCGTGGATCTGCAGTGGAAGATGGTTTCATTAAGATGGATTTAGGTAATGTTATTGTTGGTGGTAGTGAGGGCGCTTGTGCCGAATGTGAGGCAGTAGCCTCTTTAATAGGGGCATAAGGAGCTCCTTCGTTATGGGTTGTGCTACTGGAACGAGAGGCGCTACTAGATGAAGCAGAGAACCTGCTTGCTGCCGTGCGGGGGTCACGTCTTGTGATGGTAACCGTGGAGACAGCTGGAATCACAACTGGTGTATATTCTCTCTTTTGTGTAGCAGCTTTAGGAGTGTCTGGAGTTGGGGACGCAGGGGACTCCATGACGGGGGAAGCAGGAGACTCTAAAGTAGGGGAGGCTGGAGAATCCATTACAGGGGAAGCAGGTGATTCTACTATTGTCAGGGGTGGAGGGTCAATAGTAAAGTGGGATGAAGGCTCCATTAGTGAAGATATTGGAGAATCCATGTCTGGTGAGTCAGGTGGTGCCCGCAGAGGGGAATCATCTCCTGCAGGCTTTCTCCAAGATGGTCCATGTTTATCTCTTCCTACAGATACCTTGGGTTTCTTCTTTGCTGGTTCCCCCTCTTCCACAGCCAACATCTGACCTTTGGGAAGAAATGACAAACTACTTTGAACAAACAAAAGTAAAAGCTGGTTGTTGGATAATAATGTCTGCTTAGTACTGCACAGCTATTGTCTAATATTGTTTTAATTTACCCGTGCATATCTTGCATTTCAGGTCAAAGAGATGAGTTTTGTGCTCTGATGTTGTGTCTTTAAGCATGCAGGCAAGAATATCTGGTACAGCACTGATCTGGCTTGGCTGGTTTGCTCTGGCCTTGACAGATGGAGCAGGAAGACTTCTCTTCTGTTCCTGAGAAGCAACACATACCAACACAACACAAACAAGACATAACTCATACAGATATCATAATGTCTATGACCTTTAAAAAATACGTGCATAAGGAGCAGAAGATACTTTAATGCAAATGAGACAGGTACACACCGTGCTATCAGGTCTTCTGTCAGGCCTAGTAGGTTTCAAACTGGGCAAATCAACCTTCACTGCTTCAGGTTTTTGGAAAGTTGTTGCTTTCGCAGCTACATCCTTAACCTAGAAATACAAAAGCAATGAAAGAAGATCATCACACTGTTAACAACAACGTTTGACGATTCTGAGTTAAATTCTACTTTCGTCTTAGTGGTTGCATTTTACGCATACCACCATTTACCTCAGTTGTTTCTTTTGCCTTTGGCTCAGGTGCCTTAGTAGCCTGCATGTCCTTCTGAGTCATCCTGACCAGTCTGAAGGGACCAATTTCTCCATGTACAACCCGATACAATAAGCCCTAAAGAAAATCCAGATCTGGACTGTTAATTTGCAAAAAGAAAATTCTATCATTTAAATTCTATAAAAAAGTAGTAGTTACTCTTACAAAACATGATCCGCAATATCATTATTTAAATATATGGTAAAAACACAGATCATAAAACTGAAACAGATTTTATTAAGTTTCAACAAACCTTGTTTCTTGGGTCTTTTAGGTTGAACATTATAGTTCTATACTTGTTCATGTATTTGCTGTCTGTGTTGCGAAATATGTCGAACATCTCCATCTCAATGCTCGCGACAAGCTTTGCAACTTCACTCTCAGACATCTCCAAATCCTCACAATCACACACCCTAAACAAATGAAAAGAAAACAGTCAACAAATTTGTTGTGCATCAGTGCTCTAGTAGATTAAGATGTATTTTTCACCCTTTAATTCATGTAAAAGTGGAACTGCCATTAATTCTACGTGTAATGTAAAAAACATGTTTATCTGGGAAGGGCACCAATTAAGAATATGTGGGTCATGTTGTTTATAAATGTGCATACTTTAAGAATATGCTACTAAAATATACATGAGAAATAAAATGAATGATAATGAATTTATGGTTATTTCTGCACGTCTATAAAACTATGCTCATGTTTTTCTATACATGTTTAACGATACTGTCGTTCAGAGATGTGCTCCAAGAATCAGTACTATATATATATAGACTCTTAATTACAGTTTTACAAAAATATGCCAAACTGACACTTTCATATAATGCTGTAAAGTGGTTCTCACCGTTTGAACAGGATGCTGCTGAGGGAGCGTTGGATGCTCTGTCTAACCTGGGTATTGGGCTGAGAGGGTCTGGAGGAAGGTGCACTGGGTGCAGGAGACACAGGAAGATTCCGTGTTTCATTAAGCAGCATGGGGGCTGAAGAAGGCTTCTGGCATGATGTCGTGGCTGGCACGTGGCTGGATGGAGACTGAGATCCAGATTGCTTCTTTGGTATCACGTATGCGGTCTTAGTGACCATAAGGGCCCCAGTCTCATGATGTCTGGGAGCTGAGGTGGTTGGGGATTCTGTGGTTGGAGACAGACTAGATTTTGCTGAAGTGTGTGGTATTGGGGGATCTGATTCTTCAGATTCGTGTTTTGGCAAGCTGCTATTGACTCTCTCCTTTGCTTTTTCTTGAGAGTCGCTCTGTGGTGGGTCTGCTTCAGGTGCAGGCTGGGAAAGCAGAGCCACATCTGTTGAGGGTTCTTCTGGACACTGGTTTGATGAAGCCTCACTGTCAGCCTCTTCCTTTTTACTGTCGTCATTAGCTGTTAGAATAAAGAACAGCAGGGAACTCTGTGTGAATATGGAGAAAGACTACTTATCTAATATCTGTACTATAAACAGACATGTCCACCAGATATGCAAATTAGTGGCTTATTAACAAACAAATCAAAATAGTTTACTGATCAAATCAGTTATCCATAAATATGGACTAAAAATACAAACATGCAAATTAACCTGTAACCAATATCGTGGGAAAATTACAGAATGGGCCTTTAATGTTTGATGGTGATTTGATGACTTTAACATTTTTAGAAGCGGCAAAAACTTCATGATAAGTTCTATTATTTAGATGATACAAACATTTCCTCTTAAACAGTTTGTATAACTGGTTGATGTTAAAACGAATATCTAAAAAAAAAAAAAAAATCTACATTGACTACACACTGGTGGTGCCTTGAAATTCTTTACTGAATAATTAAGGGGCCACTGAATAATATTAAATTCAGTAAATTTGGCATACAATTTTATTTTATTTGGTTTCACATAAAGATACAAAGGTTGGATTAAATACACTCTAAATGTTACCAAAGTTAGATTTCAATGATAAAATGTTTCACGCTAGAGAGCAGTCTGGGTCATTTATATTTATGTATATGGAAATACTTGCAAAAATGCAGATTGACACTGAATAAGTCTTAATTCAATTTTAACTCAGATATCTGATTTCTGTGGCATTTTGTATATTTTGAAAGAACTGATACGAGATTAAGACAGGAACAGTTGGAGTTCATTGGAAGGGAAATTGATCAGGAGGCATCTGAAATGTAAACCTATTAGCAGTATACAAACACATTCTTATACTGACGTTCATGTCAATACTTAGACATTCGTTGTAAAGTTTTCTCATGAGTCCTACTTCTAAAATCACAACACAGTTGATGGGGAAGGACAGATATCTGACGAACACTCTGGAGAGGTCTCTTCTCATTAGTTCACCACTCTGTGTACGGTCTGAGCACAGCATGTAGCATTACTTTCCACACGTGGAATAACGCCCAAGACCAACATGTTTGCAGGAATTGCAAAAAATATGCAGTTGTGACCCTGGTCTCTGCTCCAGCGACTATGCTGTTGAAACATCAGCTTTGTTTATCTTCTTTGATAGTTCCCTTTAGAATGTCACAACATTCATCTTGCTGTTAATATCATTCTGTAGTCTGTTGTCATTTCATAAGACCTGCTGTACAAAAATATATTTATTTTGGTAAGTGACAGAGTTCCAAAAAGTTCTGAAGTTCTTTGTCTTCTGCTCAAAGCTACTTTGAAATTTATGAAATATGAGTGTTTACTGTTGGATTACTGAGGCAAGGAAAACATGTTTAGTTTTGATAAAGGCTCATGAATTTACTTCCCATTTACCACCGCAGAGTGGGGTTTAACCGCACAGGTGCATAGATTCTGAGCTTTCAAACTCCTGAAAAATAGCAGCATTTTATCATTTATATTCACAGATAACAGCAAACACACAGAATCTTTGATAAATGTGGCAAACTGTCACGACACAACTTATTGACTCGCTGTGGCTGACTCACAAGGGCTTCCACGTGCAATTAGCAGGTGAAATAAAACTACCGGCTCTTCATAAATCACACCACCTACTAATTTATAATGGACCCTGTGAAAATAAAAGAGATGCACAGATAATTCTGATGTATTTATATTTAACGAGGATGAATGTTACCACCTGAAAATAAAGTTTCTGCTGACAAGGTTTGGTTTCACATTTCATGAATATGGAGAGTTAGAAATATTGGTGAGGAAGGTAATGATAAAAAGCTCGATCATGGATTGTAGTTTCGGTGTGTCAATTATTTTCTACACCGATATATATATATATATTTAGATCCTGTATTTAACCACCAGTTAATTAACGAATACTTTGATATATTTGTGGCCAGTGATGTACATGTGTAATGTCAAGGTGGTTCTGTGAGAAAACAAATTTTGTTCAACAGTTACACAACTGAGTCGTTATTTCTTTACTAATTGACCTCACTGATGTGACAAAGAGTGTCTTCTTTGCGTTTTTGTCATAGACAGGTCTAATCTGAAGTACACAAGCTTTATTATACAAACAAAAGTTTAAGTGTGTGTATTTATAATGAATTGTGGAAGTGGAAATGGGGCTCGAACATGTGCACGTGGTTCCACAATGACTGAGATTTATAAAACAAAAGCAGGCGGAAAAAAATGGTTGAAGAAATCTGACAAAATGCTTGTGTTACATTTCCATTATCAGTATTCGTCAAACTGTGTGAAAGGTCCCAGTGGATGAAATAAACAAGAGTTTGCTGATGCTATTCATTCTGACCTTTACTCACCCCAAATTCAACTTGGATTATTAGTTGGTCCCCTTATTATTATTAATGACTCTTAAAAATTATGGGATAGGTGGGAGAAAGCTTTTTTGCCTTCTGAAGGTGAGTGTGTCAGAAAATGTTTCCAAACCACTGGTGTACACAGAGTTCTAGTTGTAAGCTGGAGTTTAAGCAGCTGGTCCTTCGTGTTGTGTGCAACATGGGATGACATAATAAGCCACAAAGTGCAATGAATGGTTTCAGGGGTCACATGCTCGTGCATTTAAAAAATAAATAAATAAAAATCATGTCAAAGCTAATTTCTTCTAAATTTATTCTAAAAAGGTAAACATTAATTTATTATATATTTACAATATGTGAAGTCAAATATTTCAAGATTTTTTTGTTAGAATTAGATTACGGCTTATGGCTAATGGAAATCTGAAATCCACTATCTCAAATTATTATGACCTTTTTTTAAGATCAGTCAAAATCAAGGGTTTACAATGCATAAATCTCCAACTTCAGCAAACTTAATACTTGATTGTGGCTCTTTTGCCACCATTTACTGCATCAGTGGCGCATGGAATAGGAGGCCATCAGCCATTGGCACTGCTGAGGCATTATTGAAGTGCAGGTTGTTCTGATAATGGCCTTTAGCTCGTCTGCATTTTTGGGTCAAGTATTTCCTTGTGTTTCCTTTCGACAATGCCACAAAATGGGTTCTGTGGGGTTCCGGTCAGGGGAGGCCAATCACGCACAGTAACAAAATGGTCAGCAAACTATTGGGTAGTAGATTTAGCAATGGGGGCAGGTGCTGCTCGAAAACAAAACCGACATCTCCATAAAGACTTTGGGCTTGATAAAACACACTGGACCAACATCAGCAGATGGCATCGCACCTCAAATCGTCACAGACCGTGGAAACTTCATAATGGAATTCAGACACCTTGGATTTGGTGCCTCTCCACTCTTCCTCGAGACTCTAAAACCTGGATTTCCAAATGCAATACAGAATTTACTTTCATCCGAAAAGAGGACTGTTGGTCACTGAGCAACAGTCCAGCTCTTTTTCACCTTTGCCCAGGCAAAATATTTCTGATGCGGTCTCTGGTTGAGGAGTGTCTTAACATCAGTAATGCAACAGTTGTAGCTCCTTTCCTGAAGACGTCTGTGTTTGGTGGCTCTTGATGCACTGACACCAGCCTCAGTCTGCTCCTTGTGAAGCTCTACCAAGTTCTTGAATCAATTTTTCTTGACAATCCTCTCTCGGCTGTAATTATCCCTGTTGCTTGTGCACCTTTTCCTATCACACTTTTCCACTTTCCACCAATATGCTTCGATACAGCACTCTGCTAACAGCCAGCCTCGTCAGCATTGACCTTCTGTGGTTCCTTTTGGATGGTATTAATTTTTGTTTTCTCAACAACTTTCAAGTTGGCAGTATTCTCCATGATTGTGGTTGTGTGTACTGAACGTATGGTGGCCGACGGGGGCAAAAGACGTCCATATACAGAAATGAGCTGCATATACATTAATGCATTGTATAAACAGAAACGCACTGCAAAAAGAAAACGCTTCATATAAAGACACGCAGCATAAATGAAAACAAATGAAAAAAGAAAATGCTGCATATCCAGTCACACAACGGAAGTGCCACAGGCCTCTAGGGGCAGTAGTGAGCTTTTCACTTGAGAGGCCGACAACAATGATTAAAGGAGTAAGGGAGATGGTAGTAAAACACCACTGCAGCACCCATATAATCACAGTGACTAAAATACTAAGGAATTAAAAACTGCCCCAAGAGGCCTGTGGCATTTCCGTTGTGACTGGATATGCAGCGTTTTTCTTTTGCATTTATTTTCATTTATGCTGCATGTCTGTATATGGAGCATTTTCCTTTTGCAGCGCGTTTTCGTGTTTGCAGCGCTTTCTTTTTGCAGCGCATTTCTGTTTATGCAACATATTTATGTATATGCACCTTGTTTGTGTATATGCACGTCATCTGTCCCAGTCAGCCACCGTATGAACTAAACTAAAAGACACAGTATTTATACAGTTTGAATAGTAATTTACTCTAATTCAAAATTAAATATCTTAATATTTTGAGACAAGCTTTTGTAATATTTGAGCTTTAGACCATAATCAAAGTTTAACGACAAAAATGTTTGAAACATTTTACATTACGTGTAATGAGTTTAGAATATGTTATTTTTTCCCTTTATTAAATAACTGATGGAAAATATTTAACTTTTTCATGAATTTCTTTTTTTTTGTGATGCACTCGTAAATCACCACTGTGCCTATGTAGAAAAACGCCTGATACAATGAACCACTAGCCAACCTCCGTAAGACCACAGTGAGTCTTGTGGAAATTGTGTGGTGTGAAATTATAGCCTCATCCATCACATGTCCGAGTGTTTACAGATCTACAGCGAGTTCATGACAGGTGGTACAAGCTGCCTCAGAAGAAGCCAGCATAGTGAACATGAACAACTCTAGGTGGATGGTGTAGCTTACTGGTGGCCTAGTTTGACAGTCCCTGTATGGAAATTCATCATCTGAATTCAACCCATGATAACAGCAAAGGAGCAGCTGTCAGCCACAGTTCTAAGGTCAGAGCCTTGACCAAAATTGTGTGTGAAAATGTTGCTAATAATTCACACACATCCCTGGGAGACAAT